CATGGTCATGTCTCTAGAATCCTGGAGTGGGATCAGGGCCAGATCTTGAAGAGAACAAGTACCATCTTGTGAGGCATCTGCCTCAGGTGAGGACTTTGCATCTTATCTGGCAAGGAGACACTGCACTCTTCCATCAAGGGAGAAAGGCCACGTCTACCGGCCCTATTGGTTCAGGATAATAAGGGGATTCTAGAACAGATGTTTCCATACCAGATCTCAGTGTCCCACTCCTTCCCTCCTTTCACAGCATTATGGGATTGGTTTTCAACAGTGTAGCCACACTGGCTACAGATGAGAACTTCCTTCAGTGCTGCCCTAGAAAACTCCTGGGTTTTGCACTGTATCCTGAGTTAATAGCCATTGTGAGTCTGTTGTATTTTTTTCTTTTAGCAATTTGATGGCATTTACCAATGACTGACTGACTCCACAATCCTTTTAATTCCCATCTCCCTCCCGTATCACAATTACTAGAGATATGCACAGGTGGTGTGTCCCTATATTCACCAGGGTGAGAGTTTTAGTAATCGTGCTGGTGCTCTGGGTATCAGCACTCTACTTACCCCAGCCACGGAATTCTTTTTTTTTTTTTTTTTGCCACGGAATTCTTGTTGTCATTTGGATGGTGAGTGATCCAATTCCAGAATCCCATGCAGGGGATCTGCTTCCTAGGATCACTTCAGATACCAACTGGGTTTGGCAGGGGAGGGAGGTTCCCCTAGGAATAAAACCTCAGTTGAAGATTTGAAGCCATGTACATTTTTTGAGTTGTTTTTTTTTTTTTTTCATCTTGTTTTGGCCACGCCATGAGGCAAGTAAAAAAATTAGTTCCCCGATGAGGGATAGAACCCAAGTTCTCTGCAGTGGAAGTTCAGAGTCCTAACCACTAGACTACCAGGGAATTCCCATACTTGAGAACTGATGCTAGTGGTAAAGAACCCACCTGCCAATGCAGGAGAGGTAATATCCCTGGGTTGGGAAGATCCCCTGGAGGAGGGCATGGTAATCCATTCCAGTATTCTTGCCTGGAGAAACCCATGGACAGAGGAGCCTGGCGGGCTACGGTCCAGAGGGTTGCAAAGAGTCAGACATGACTGAAGCGACTCAGCATGCACACACATGAGGAGCTACCTCCAAGTAAGTGAGAAAGTGACACAGAAAAGAGAAGAAGGCTGGTAAAGGCTGCACTATCAAGGAAATTAAGCATGTGGACTGGAACTTAGTCCTGCTGGGGACTCAGGAAGCCAGCAATGATGAAGCCTCAGGATTATCCAACCAGATGGCTGAGAGAACTGGGGTGTTTATCCACCAGTCTCCATCAGTTACTGCCTGAGGGTTGCTGAAGATGGGAGTAGAATTCCTGAGAATGTTCTGCCTGCCTAGCATCTGACTAGTGCAGCTTCAGTGGCCAGAGAGAGCCCTCGGGTAGCGTTGCAGTTTTCTGGCAGCTGGAAGTTTGTCCACTGTACCCCAGTGCTTAGGGAGTGTGGAAGGGATGCTGATAACATCTGCTACACCAAGGGAGGAATCCTTTCACTAGATATAACAATGGTTCCACTCATCTGACAGCAATCCAATTCTGAGGATCTCGATTATTCACAAATGAAGTGGTCACCTGACATGGTTTAAAAAACAGCCAACTGAGGTGTTGTTGGCTAAGGGCAAAGTGAAAATGAAATGAGTAATGGAACAGGAAATTCTAAACATCAACTTCTAACCAGTTACAGAAATAAGGACTGTAGAAGCTGTGGGTATTTTCTTGCTTGCTTGTTTTATATTATATACTCTGTGCGTGTGTATATATACATATATATACATATATATATGTATATAATTTTTTCCTTCCTTCCTTTGCTTTATTATCTTATAAAAGGATTGTTGTTGGTAGTGAGATTTATTATTAAGCCTTTAGTTTCCTTTAGAGAAAAATGTGTTTCCCTGGTGGCTCAGTGGTAAAGAATCTACCTGCCAATGCAGGAGACGTGGGTTTGATCCCTAGCCAGGAAGAGTCCCCTGGAGAAGGAATTGGCAACGCACTCCAGTATTCTTGCCTGGGAAATCCCATGGACATCGAACCCTGTGGGCTACAGTCCATGGGGTCTCAAAGGGGTCAGACATGACAGCGACTAAACAACAACAAAAGAGAAAATGTGGCTGAACTCAGAAAAGTGTTATCATCACCCAGAGATGGATATTGTTACTGCAGAGACTTTGCAACTCCACTTTGCGGGGAGGGCGCTAGAGCACAGACCCTTGTACCAACGACCAACAACAATTACATCTTTTTTTTTTTTTTTTTGGACAATTGCATCTTAATGGGCAAAGGCATGAAGTTGTTATTGTTCAAACATGTATAGAAAAGTTGTACGCACATGCTGAGCAGAAGGTCCCTGCTTTCTCTGTGCAGGTTATTTACTTCTTGCTTTCCCTGGTGGCTCAGTCAGTAAAGAATCTGCCTGCAATGTGGGAGACCCAGGTTAGATCCCTGGGTTGGGAAGATCCCTTGGAAAAGGGAATGGCAATTCCAGTATTCTTGCCTAAGGAATTCCATGGACAGAGGAGCCTGGCAGGCTACAAATCATGGGCTTGCAAAGAGTCAGACACGACTGAGTGACTAACACTAACACTTTTCTGCTCCAAATTCATTCTTCATGACTCTCTTTTCACTGATGCTGGTAGGGGAGAGAAAAACTCTGCAAATTTGTTTCCCAGACTTCATTACTAACTGACTTCCCATTAGGTTCTAATAGGAGGCACTAGAGGGAGATGGAAGGCAGGAGGAGAAGAGAAGGGACATCTTCCTGTTTGAGGGGTTTTGTTCAGGGTCACTGTGTCATTGGAAGTTGGCTCCAGCCTTCAGCTTTTTTCTGTGTTCTGAGAACCAGCGTTCTAGATGGCTCTTTTTGTAGATGGCACCAGCGGCAGCCCACCAGTGCCTCTGGCTGAGTCTGAGCCCTACCTGGGCTCCCACCTCTTCCCTCGTGTTCTCTCAGCCCTGCTGCTTTCTCTAGTTATGAGTTCCACTACTTCCATGTTGTCTGTGCTTTCTCTTTTCGCTTTTTCATTCTTCCAGTATGACCAAATCTCATCTATTTCAAATACCTCATATGGCTTCTGTTTTTCTGACCTGGCCTTGTCTGGTGCACAAAATGACCCTCAATGGTAAAACAGATAAATTGCGGTAGAGATATACACTGGAATAGTATACTGGGGAAATGAATCTCCCTAATGTGGTACTGAAAGAAGCAAATTACAACTGAATTCAAACAGTGTGACTCCATTTCTTCTAAGCCTAAACACTGGCAACATTGAACTGTATTTTTTTACTGATGGATGTGTAGGTGGTAAAACTATAAAGAAAAGCAAGAAAATGCTCACTGCAAAATTCTGGATAGTAGTTCTCTCTCACAGGGATAGATGAAGATGAGATCTGGGAAAAGCATTATGAGAAGTCGTGTGGGGCTTGTGATGTCTTATTTCTTGATCACTGAGGCTATGACAAAGCTGTGTGCTTTGTAAATATTCTTTAAGCTGCACATATGTGATTTAGGTGCTCTTTCATGCATTTGATATAGCTTGCAATTGAAAAACAAAAGAACAAACATCATGATTGCCCCTGGCAATGAGTCTGGAGGGAGGAAGACTAAGGTGAGGCAAGAGGGAAAAAGCAGAGAGGATGGGCTGAAAAGACTAATTCTGAGGCCCCAGAAGCCAAGAATTGAGGCTGAGGCTGAGTGAGCAGGAGATCTGTGCTGGAGTCAGGACCTCCCCAGTCCCCAGGGAGTCAGACCAAGATTGGGAATTTCTACAGGTCTTTCATCTCTCCCTCCTCTGTTTGTGCTAATGGAGGGTCCCTGCCTGCTGGTCATTTTCAGATGTGGGTCCCCATCCGGATCAGTGTGGAGACACTGACCAGCCACTATCGAGCAGAGTCAACCCAGAGAGTGGGCAGAGTTGGAGAATGGACACTCCTGAGGCCAGATGGAGAAACTGGGTGAAGCTCTTGTGATCAACACAGAAAGCCTTTCCGTGGGAGCTGGGGATTTCAGTGGTTGAAAGAGAACAGGCTAAATAGAGGAATGGAGCATGTGGGAGCAGTGATGTGAGAGAGCAACGGGTAGTATGGAAGCCAGACTGTCCGTCTGTTTCCCCCACCTTCCCTAAAAGATGCAACCACCTAAAAGATGCAACCAGCACTGTAAATCAACTATACTCCAAGTTAAAAAAAACAAACACGGAAAATGGATGCAGCCAGCTTTTCTGGCCTTGAAGAGAGGGTTGATGGTACCCTGAAGCAATTTGGGCAGCCAAGGGATTAATCCTCTAACCAGCTGCCTCTGGGGTAGTGTGAGGAGGTAGGACTCAGAAGCAGTTACTTGGCACCACTATGGGCATCAGCTCTTACTGCTAGGAACCTCCACAGAGCCCAGGCCTTCAGCTGCCAGTCTACTCTCCACTCTGTCCCAAGGGGTTCCAGGAGCAGGGCTCCTACGGTTTATTCTGGATTCCCATCCCCCACCCTACAGCGGTGGACTCTGCCGGCTGGCGCAGACGAACCAAGCCCGGGGGCAGACAGATACGGTTTCCGACCGCTCCTTGGTCTCCAGGGTCGATAGCGTAGGGCCACCCGCGCTCTTGGACGCAGACCTGGCCTGGCCTCGCTGGGAATGCCGATAGACAACGGGTGGGAGGAGGGGGCCAGGATAAAGGTGAGGAGAAATGAGAAGACTTCTGAGATAGACACCACTGATCAGGGGGCAGAAACAAGGGAGTAGAGGCGTCGGGACGCAGAGACGTGAGACGTGGGGTCCTGGGCTCTGAGCTAGGGAGTGGAGGGCAAGCCAGAAGCCCCCTTTCTTCCTTCCAATCGCTGCCTCTCCCTGGGACCCTCTCGGCGCTCCCTGAGGCCCCTGCCCTCTCCCCTCCCCCCAAATCCTGCACCCTCTGCGGATTGGTCCCTGGCCTGCCGGGGGGCGGGGCTCGAGGGCTTTGACGTCACCGGCCGAGGGGGGCGGGCGGCTAGGGGAGGGGGTGAAGGGCCCCGGCTCAGCACCTCGGAGAGTTCCCTCCCCGGCCTTGTTTTGCTTCGGAATCGCCGCCGGGGGAGGGAGCCAGGGGGCCGGGCAACACGCGCAGCGGGTGGAGGATGGCCGTGGAGGGGTCGACGTGCCCCGGCGGGCAGAGGGCCCAGCGGTGATCCGGCGGTGGAGGGCCGGGGCGCCGGGCAGGGTGAGGGGCAGCTGGCGGCGGCAGCAGTGGCCACACATCTGGATGGAAGCGAGCTTTGTTCAGACCACCATGGCTCTGGGGTTGTCCTCCAAGAAAGCGTCTTCCCGCAATGTGGCCGTGGAGCGCAGGAACCTGATCACCGTGTGCAGGTGGGCACCGCCGGCGGGCGGGGGTGGGGTGGTCAAGGAGAGGCGGCGGGGCCGGCTGGATGCGAGGATGCACAGCAGACGCGAAGAAAAGGGAGGCAGCACAGGGTTAAGAGCAGCGCGCGTCCGCTATCCTCAGACCCAGGCTTGGAGAGGGTCTGGAGGTCTGGTCCCTACCCTTCCTTCTAGGCCAGGCTAGGCCAGGCCGGTGCCCAGTCTGGGGCCTGGAGGGTGAGGGGTGTTTAATTGGCACTGCAGCTTCCTGTGAGAACCAGGAAGTGACATTGTCTGTGAGGGGGAGGGGTGGGGAGGGCTGGCTCCCTTGCTGGGGGCGGGAGCTGGGTGGGCAGAGAACTGATGGGAGAGGGGAATGAACGCCCTCCAAGCATGTCCTCACGCCCACCCCTGCCAACCTGGCCTCTCTGGGGTAGGGCTTTTCTGGGAGATTTCGCAATGCTCAAATCCTGGAGCAGGGGTGGTGCCCTCCTCCATCTCTGGGCAGTTACAGCCCATGGCAGGGTCAACCGGGCATGTAGGTGAAGTCCCTGAATCCATCCAGTGAAGGCACAGCACTGCCCCTGTGGTGGGAAGGACTGAGGGCCTGACCGCAGAAGGTGGGTTCTCCTGGGCTCAAGCGGAGGAGATTGGGAGGGCCAAGCCCTTGGTTCCCAAGGGTGGGGTTGTCGCAGTGTTGGGAAGACTTGCCCGCTTTCTTGGGGCCCAGAAAGTGAACCTTCCCACTCCCCAGCCCCGCAGTGGCTCACTCTCCCTGCCCTGAAGCCAGGAATGACCAGTCCTCAGCCCCCACCTGCACTCATCTCTCCCCCTCTGAACCCCTGCCAGATGCCTTCTCCACCTGCAATCTCCCCTCTGTCCCACGCCACCTCTGAGGGCTCAGCTGTCTTCCCTTGCCAGCCCCACCTGCCTGCATACCAGCCTTGGTCCTGCTCCCTCCCCCAGGAATCAGTGCCCCCCTGATGCCCTGGGTCTGTCTCCTACAACTCTTCCAGGTTCCTGGGTGCACACCCTGCTCTACTACGTCTGTCTCATACCATTGTATCCCCAGTGCCTAGCATGGTGCTGTGCACACATGACCTCTTTAAAATGCCTGGAACGTTAGAGAAGGAATGAGTGGCAGTGGCCCAGCCCAAATGCAGGCCTCTGCCTCCATGCTCACCTCCCAGGCCCTGCCAGTGTGGTGTAAAACACAGATGGTCCTAGGTTCAGGTTTTTCTTCAGTTATTAGCTGTACCACTTGGTGGGAGTCTCCTAACCACTCTGGGCCTTGGGTGTCTTACTATCTCCATTGTAGATGTAATAGCCACACCAAGGAATGGTAATGACATGATGCATGTTGGACGCCTGGCACATGAAAACAGCCCATCCCGATGCCATCCTTCCTGTCCCTCTCATCTCTCTTGACCTCCTAGGTTCTTCTTCCTTCTCTTGCCTGCCAGGACAGCTGGGACTGCTGAAAGTGTAGGGAAGGGACGAATGCCCCTGGGCCTCAGCAGCAGAAGCAGATGTTCTAGGGGACTGAAAGTGGGGTTAGAGCTGGAATGTGAGGGTTAGAGTTGGCGGGAGGATTGGGAGCATGACAGAGGCTCAGAAACCCCTCCAGCCCCTGCCGCCTCATCACAATCACGTGGTTCGCCTCCAGCTCTGGGAACAGTTCCCTTTAGCAGGCCGAGGGCTCCCCTGGGCCCTGGCTGCCCTGTCTCCATGGTAACCTGCAGCAGCCACTGCACCTCTGAGCAGGGAACACACCATGGGGCTCCCGGGGGCGATGACCAGCTCCATAGCACCCCTGAGGACAGATGGCAGATGGCTGCCATGCTGAAACCAGCCACAGGCCCCCACTGAGGTCTGACCCAAATGACCAGAAGACAACACAGGAGCAGGGCTGTATAATAAAGCCCAGATAGTGCCTTAAACATAGACTCCTTCTGGCCATGCCATTAATGGCCCAGTTCCTTACCACCCCTGCCCCATGGCTTGCTCACTCACCTTCTCCCACACTTTTCCTGGAATTTGAACCAAAATTTGATGAGACAGGTACTATTATTCTTGTTTGCACCTGGTGAAGATGGGCCTTGGAGAGATTAAGTGACTTGTCCAAGGCCACAAAGGTACCACAAGGATACAGGATTTGAGTCCACCCAGGCTGCCTCCCTTGGTACAACCGCAGCACTGACCTGACTCTTATCTCAGGCCAGACCAACTCAAAGGGAAGGGAGTGAGGTCTGTGGGCTTAGTTGTGCCACTGGCCTAGAGCCTTGGAGGCCAGTGTCCAAGGGCTGGAGCATGGAGTGGAGGACAGAGTGTGGAGGAGGCAGGGGCTGCTTGGGGCCTCAGTGATCCTGACATCCACCAGGAGGCCCCAGAAAGAGCAAGGGCGTTGGGATCAGACATACCTGTTGACGCCTCACAAGCAGTGTGACTTCGAACTGACCAGTCAATCTCTTAGACCCTCAGTTATCTTATCTGTAAAATCGGAGTAATGGTGATACTAAGAGGACCTTCCTCCCAAGGCTGTCAGGATAGATGAGATGACACATACAGAGTATAGCGCTGGGCACATTACAGGACTGGATGGATGAGCTTAGAGAAAGAAGGATGGTTCCAAGAAGCCCCCATATCCCTGGATACATCCCCCTGCTGTACCACCCACAGAGGGGCCATGATGGGATGCTGGGAACCATGTCCTCATCCCTGCCCCACCCCGCTGCAGCGATGGCAGGTGGAGACTGCAGGCGTAGGGACTGTAGAGGGAGCCCAGGCTCTGGGTGGATTGGAGGGAGGGTGGGGGCTGCTTGGCTCCAGTCTCTCAGCCCCATTGGCTTCCCCTGGCTTCCTTCCTCTCTGAGAGGCCAGGTGTCCGGGCCCTCAAGCCCCCTTCTAGAGATCTGCTGCCAATGCCCCCTCCCACCCACTGTGTGTGTCAGACCCACACCCTGCACCTCCCCCTGCCCAGTTCTGCACTGCCTGGTTCTGGGCAGCTGGTGTGTGGGTGGCCGAGCTAGGAAGGAAAAGGGGGAAGGGGGGCATCCGTGTGCTGGGGGTCCACCTGGCCACCCATGCCTGCCCACGCTCCATGTGCTTGGTGCAACTCACATGCTCTGGCACAGGTGACCCCACCCCCACCCCAGAAGGGACTGGAGAATGTTCTAGCAATAGCAGAAGGCAGCTCAAGACAGGGGCACAAAGCAACTCCCACCTCTGAGCCAACCCCCACCCTTCTCTGACAGACAGAACACAACTCCAAAGGGCGGGTGATCAGCAAGAGGCTCTGGGCTGGCCCCCTGGCTCCAGGTGCCTCATCCTTCTACCTGTTGTTTCATCCACTCTCATACTTGTTCCTGAAGCTTCCCTTCTCTGCCTCTCCGTCACCCACTCTGTCAGTCTCCCATATGCCACCCTACTCGCCCACATCACAGCCCCTCTCTGGTCACTACAGCCTCTCTTGTCCCCCACCCTCTTTCCCTCTGCCTTCCTACCACATCCATGCTCCTGGTGATCTCTTCTTATCCTGCCTTTTACCCCCATTACCCCGTCTTCTCACCTGACACCCCACTGCCCCTTCTCCCTCCCTCTCACCCAGGTTCTCCGTGAAAACCCTGCTGGAGAAGTACACAACGGAGCCCATCGATGACTCATCCGAGGAGTTTGTGAATTTTGCAGCCATCTTAGAGCAGATCCTCAGCCATCGTTTCAAAGGTGGGTCCAGGTTCCTGTCCCCTATTGCTCCCAGCTACCCCCTTCTGATCTACTCTGTGGCTGTCTGAACCCCATCATTGACCCTGGTCCCAATTCTAGATCATGCACAGAAGCTCAAGCACAGAGTTGGGAAAGGGGGGCACAATACAGGGGTACCCACAAGCCCCAGCAGTGAGCCTTGTGTGTACATGTATGTGTGGGTATGTCTGTTTGGGGTAGGCATGATGCATGTGTATGGCTGCTTTTATTTATGCATGTGCATGCCCCATTACATGGACCCTCTCCAAACTCCCTGGTCTTGCTGAGCCCACTCCCTGCCCTGGCTCAGCCTGTGCCCCAGCAGGTCCGGTGAGCTGGTTCAGCTCAGACGGGCAGCGAGGCTTTTGGGACTACATCCGCCTGGCCTGCAGCAAAGTGCCCAACAACTGTGTGAGCAGCATCGAGAACATGGAAAACATCAGTACCGCCCGGGCCAAGGTGAGCAGCCTGCAGCAGGCAAGGCCAGGGCAGCTGCTCCCTCCTCTGGATACAGAGGGGCTGCTTGCTCCTTGGTCCTCACCCCAGCCCACAGGCACAGGGGAGAAGGGCCACAGGAGGTCCAGACCCAGGGGCACACACACAGGTCCCTCTGGGGCAGCCAGTAAAAGTGAACGTGCTTTCCAGGGCCGGGCATGGATCCGGGTGGCACTGATGGAGAAGCGCATGTCGGAATACATCACCACAGCCCTGCGGGACACTCGGACCACCAGGTCAGACCCCCTCAATCAGTGTGGACCACAAGTCCCAGGGTGTACATTCATTGCCTAAACACACTTGATCCTCAAGTTGTGGCTGCAACCTTCGGTATCTGGACTACAACTACCAGCATGCACTGCTAGCTTTCCCCTCCCAGACCGTCCACCCATCAGCTGGGCCAGCCAGTCCCAGAACACACTTTTAGCGCCACCACCATCTCTTCCAAGTCAAATTCATTGACCCCCACGACCTCCAGTGCTGGTCTCATGCACATAGCTCTGGACAAGTCTCAACTATGCATTATTTTACTTGTTGGCCTCATTCCATGACCTATAGCACACAGCTCTACCTGCTCTGCAAACAGCAGCAGCAGTCTGTACTCGCTACCCATGGACTTCAGAGTCCCAGGGGACAGAGTTTCAGTCTGTACATTGTGGGTCTGCAGAGATATTGGGTCCGGGAGGCAGGGTCACAGGCAAGATGTGCCAAAGGGGTAAATGAGTACAGTAGGGACATGTGCCTCGCTACCCCACTCACGTGGTCACGCCCAAACTGATGTTTGTGGCTGCACTGTATCTCTGCTGTGTCCTCACATTTCGGGATTCACATTAACATATATTTTTAAAAATCAACTGTATGCCAAAATACTTCCCTGGTAGCTCAGACGGTAGAGAATCTGCCTACAATGCAGAAAACTTGGGTTCTATTCCTGGGTCGGGAAGATCCCCTGGAGAAGGGAATGGCAACCCACTCCAGTATTCTTGCCTGGAGAATCCCATAGACAGAGGGGCCTGGTAGGCTACAGTTCATGGGGTTGCAAAGAGTTGGACCCGACTGAGAGACTAACATTTATATGCCAAACACTGTTTAGGACTTGTTTCCTGATTTTAAGGATCTGGGTGACTCTGTACTTGGTGGAGAAGGGGTAGTTCAGAGGGATGGAGGTCGAATCTCAGGGGACACGCGTTTTAATAGGTGAGAGACAAGGCGCTATCCCCGGTGGGCCCCAGTCTGAGGGGGAGACAAGATCCACAGTGAGGGGTGAGCAGGAAAAAAGGTACCTCCTTCCTCCAGGCAAGGTTTGTGATAAGCCAACAGGAGAAGCCCTGAGGTGTGGGGCCCCCTGGGAAGACTACATTGCCGGTACCTCCCCCCTTCCACAGACGCTTCTACGACTCAGGAGCCATCATGATGCGGGAGGAAGCCACGGTCCTCACTGGGATGCTGATCGGACTGAGCGCCATAGACTTCAGGTGGGGTCTGGGTGGCGGTGGCGGTCACCGTGACGGTGGGATTGGGGTTGTTTCTCTGCGAAAGTCTGTCCACACTCCCATCCTCTCATACCTGCCCCCCACCCTGTGGCTGCTCTGCCCCCAGCTTCTGCCTAAAGGGCGAAGTGCTGGACGGGAAGACCCCCGTGGTCATCGACTACACGCCCTACCTAAAGTTCACTCAGAGGTGAGCAGCGCGATTGTTGCGGAGGTGGGCGGGTGCTGACAGACGACGGCCCTGAGGGGTGGGAATGGCGGGCGGGAGGCAAGCGGTCTGGGCATCATGCCGCCCCCCCGGCCCCCGCCCCCGGCCCAAGAGGCTTGTCTGTGTAACTGTGTAACCTCGGCTGTGTAACTGCTCCCTCCCTCAAGCTACGACTACTTGACGGACGAGGAGGAGCGGCACAGCGCCGAGAGCAGCACGAGCGAGGACAACTCGCCCGAGCACCCGTACCTGCCGCTCGTCACCGACGAGGACAGCTGGTACAGCAAGTGGCACAAGATGGAACAGAAGTTCCGCATTGTCTACGCGCAGAAGGTGCGCGGCGCGCGGCGCGGGCGGGGCGTGGGCGGGGCGAGTCCGCAGGAGGCGGGGCGGGCGGCCGCGGGGACCACCTCCTCCCGCCGCCCGGGCTGAGCCGGCGCCCCGCAGGGCTACCTGGAGGAGCTGGTGCGTCTGCGCGAATCGCAGCTGAAGGACCTGGAGGCGGAGAACCGGCGGCTGCAACTGCAGCTGGAGGAGGCGGCGGCGCAGAACCAGCGGGAGAAGCGGGAGCTGGAAGGCGTGATCCTGGAGCTACAGGAGCAGCTGTGAGTGCCGCCGCCGCGGCCCTGACCCTGGTCCCCCGCCACCCCGACCACATCGCCCCCGCTGACTCTAACATCACCTTTCCTGATACCAACCACCAACATCAAACCACTGAGCCCGGTACCGCCACCCTGAGATCCCCCTCCCCGGGCGACCTAACTTTATTCTCAACATAAAACCCGCACCACCCCCCATCTCTACCCCCGCCCCAAGCCGGCTCCCCACTTCACCCTCAGCTACCCGACACCACTAGAATGGCCACTCAACAGTACTCCTGGGATTCCCGCACTACAGCAGCCCCAGTATTACTCACAAGCATCTCTAATTAATAGTATTCAACGCCCTTCAACATGATTGCATCATTCCCTCTGTTCAACACGTGTGAACGTAGGCCCACTGAGCATCATCACTCACAGTGACCCCTGACCTCACCTCTGCCCATCCTTCTAACAGTTTCTCTTTAAACGTTTCCATTACCCTGAGGCCTCCCAGCATGATCCCGACACCCCATTACTCTTCATGAACCCCGCATTGCTCTGCACCGACCTGCCCACCACCCTGACATCTCATTATTCTGCTAAACCCCAACATAATTGCACTAATTCCTATCACTCCTGTGACCCCCCAGCACACTCCACTGACTCTCAACATTCATACCGTTTCTGCCACCCAGGTTTCAATCCTAGCCCCTCCCCCCATCTCTCTCTGAGCCCCTCCTTCCCCACTTCTGCTCCCTCTTCCAGCCAGGCCTGACCCCCCCTCCCCATCCCAGGACAGGTCTGATCCCTGGTGACCACGCTCCCCTGGCCCAGGGTTCCAAGGACCTCACCACACGCCTGGTCAACCAATGGCCATCACTGGGCACGCTCAGTGGGGCCGAGGGTGCCAACAACCCCAAGCTCTACCGGAGGTAAGCCCCAGCCAGACAGCCTGGCCCCAGCAGCCTGGCCCCAGCCTGCTCTCCTACGGAAGAGGGGCGCTAGGGGCTGTGGGCCTCTGTCCGCCCACCGGCTCTCTCTGCTTTGCCACAGACACAGTTTCATGAGCACGGAGCCCCTGTCTGCTGAAGCCAGTCTAAGCTCGGACTCCCAGCGCCTGGGAGAGGGCAAGCGGGACGAGGAGCCCTGGGGTCCCATCGGTGAGCCCCCCAATCCAGCACCCAGTACCCACTCCAGAAGGGCTGAGGCCAGGCCTTGGGGCTTGTAGTCAGGCCCTGGCCACATTCCTCGTTCAATCAACCCTGCCTGGGAGCTTAGCACAGCAACTGAGAGCTTGGTTTGGGGTGTCAGGCAGACCCTGGCACAAATCTCAGCCACGCCTTCTCTGGTTGTGGGAGCTTGGTCATTGAATCCACCTTGCTGAGCCCTTCTCATCTGTACAATGGGGATGCTGATTAGAACAGTCACCAGTGTTGGCAAATGGTGAGGGCTCCGTGACATCCTCAAAGGCCCCACAGATCCTCTGGGAGTTCTTTGCCTAACTATTTTGCTCTTATTTCTTGCGCTCTATGAACCAGTTGCCTGACCGTTGTTTCCCCCTTCTCTTTGGCTGCCAGGAAGCTCAGAACCAAATTAGTGGCTCCCTTCAAGCGAATGTCCAGGACTTCAACGCATGCATTTTGTGTTGCCCTCCCTCCCTGGCTTCACCTGGCTTTCCCACCCTAGTTTCCCTGGTGCCTGGACCACCTGTCTTTTCTTTCTAAAATCCACACCGCACTGGATGACCCTAGAACTTCTCTGAGACGAGGCAGGCTATGGACCGTGGAACCCCGCCACACTGTGTCTGTGATTGTCTGTGTGTCTGTCTCCCCACCAGACTGTGAGCTCCGTGAGGGCAGGGACCGTGTCTCGTCCGCTCTCTGTATCCCCCGCGCTTGGAACCGAACAAGTGCTCACCATGTGTTTAATAAATGGACAAAGAGAGGATGAACCCTCGGGGGGAGACAGAGACATAAACTGACGATTACAATACAGTGTCTGTCCCCAGCTCTCTGCATGACAGCCGCAGGTGCTCTTCCCTGGTTTCGGTTTCGCTGCAAAAGGCCGGTGCTCCCGGAATGAGGAGGGTCTCCTGGCGGGTGACCCGAGGGCTGTCCCTTCACTGCCTGCACCCGAGCACCGCCCACCACTCACTCACGGAGGCCGGTCGGCATGGCCTCACCCGCCCTCTCTCCCCAGGGAAGGACCCCACGCCCTCCATGCTGGGCCTCTGCGGCTCCCTGGCCTCCATCCCCAGCTGCAAGTCCCTGGCGAGCTTCAAATCCAACGAGTGCCTGGTGAGCGACAGTCCCGAGGGCAGCCCGGCACTGAGCCCCAGCTGAGGAGCGGCGTGGGCAGCGCCAGCCCCACCTGCCGCCCTCCCTCAGAGCCTCCCCAGCCCAGGCCACCCTCCAGAGAACGCTGCCCACTCAGCCAGGAGTCTCTCTGGAGACACCCTTTGCTTCTAGCCCAGTTCAGCTTCTCGCCCACGGAGGCCCGAGCTGCAGAGAGAGGCCGCTGGGGCCGAGGCAGGGGCACCGAGGCCACGGGGACCCTCAGGAAGCTGCTTCTTCTGGTGACCCCGATGCCTGGTTAGCTCCCAGCAGGACTCTCCTTCGCTCATCGCCCCACCCTCCTCGGGGGCTGGCGGCCCAGCCTCAGCAGCCCCACGTCCCATGCCTCTTCTGTCTGTCCCTGTGTGTGCCCTGGAGTCACTCCCTCCTCAGCCCCCTGGCTGGGGGCGGGGGCCAGCTATGAGGGTATCAGGCAAATAAAAACCAGAGGACTGAGGGCGGCCTTGTCTGTGGAGGGGCTGGGACAGGGGGCCCGGTCCTGAGGTTGGCAGAATGTGGTGGAATTAGTGCTGGGCCCATAACCAGGTGATGCTGGACCTGCTAAAACCTGGGAACAGACTGGTTGGAGTAATTCAGCGAGCAGGTGGCCTTGGTATGAAGTGTCTGAAATAGTAGGTCAGCCCAGGGAAACCCCAAAATGTGTTAAGGGCCCCTTGAATGGCTCATCTACCCCAGACAGAGACGATGCTGGACATCCTGGGCAGAGAGTTGGGGGGCGGGGCAGAGATGGAGAAGGCAAGCCCTGGCACGGCCCCATTTCCCATCCATTACTGAGCAATTCAGCTTCAGCCTACAGGTCCAGACTCTTCCGTTAAGCCAAGGCCTGGCACTGAAGCCACCTTCCTTCCTGGGTTGTCACTTAAGTGTGCCCTTGGGTAAAGGTCTCACCCCCAGCGGCTCTCATGACATTGCAGGAGGGCTCCTCTACAGGGATGCCACCTGGGCAGCCAAAGCCAACGTCAAGGTCCCTTCCAGGCCTCTTCTGTGCAAATCGCTCATCAAGCCCTGCTTTCCCACCCACCCCAGACACCTCCTGCAGTCACAAGCACTGGAAAGAGGTTTATCATCTTTAGACTCAACAAATTAACAGGGGTGGGTACAGACTAGGCCAGGCCCAGGGTTTTGTGGCTCCTAGAGACAGGCTCACTTACAGCAAACCCACAGGGAAATGAGGGGAGAAGTGAGCAGATTTGGTCTTGAACTTGAGGGAAGAGAGTGATGATTCTCGGGGCTGGGGAATGGGGAACAGCAGGAAGTAGTCAGGGGGTTTGGGGGGAGGAGCTCTGGGTGGGTGCAGAGGGGCATTCCTCCCACCCCTAGGGCTGAGTGGGGAGGAAAGAGAAATGAGGCCCCTCCCCTCAGTGCTGAAGGAAAAGGCACTTGGCTCAGTCTCCTCCTGCCCCACCCTGTCCACAGAAGAGGTGGGGTCCTTGTCCCCTCGCTTTCAAGGGCTCAGAAGCTGTTCCCTGTTGAGCCTCTGGAAGAAGCTTTTGCCGAACTCATAAGTGCTGATCATGATGGCGCAGGAAGGGGCGGCCTTAATGATCCTCGGGAGGAAGCCTGCAGTGGGAGGGGGAGGCTAGGGTCAGAGGTCGAGCCCCAGGGAGCACCAACTTCACCAGGGTGTGGACACACACACAAAGATGCCCACCTGCAAAGAGGCCCCTGGTGCCTGACTCGGCCAGGATCCTCCGTAGCAGCAGCCAAGTAGAGTCGGCGTGCGGGGGCATCACTGCAAATCCAGGTGTGGCCCAATAAGACCCCGCTGGGCACCCCCAACCCTGCCTGCCCTGCCCCACACAAGCCAGGGCTCCTCACCTCTCACAGCCTCCACTGCTCCTAGTGCGATCTGGCGTTGAGTCTTCACCACGTCGAAGGGTAGAGTCAGGGTGGCTGCCACCTGGTAGGGTGGGAACAGACTTGTCTCCATTCCCAGGACCCCCATCCCTTGCATCCAACCAGGGCCTCCTGGCCTTAGCTAGAACATCACTAGGGGAATGGAGTGTGTGTACCCATGGAGAGGCACACAAAGATTCTTTTCCAGAGCATCTCCAACAACCCTCTGGTCACCTCAAGAACACGTCAATGGCCTCACTCCCACCATGATCGACTCACCATCCCTGAGATGCCGCCAGCGACAAAGCTGATGCCCACGGAGGTCTGGTCCTTTGGCCTGAGCCTGCTCAACCAGCTCTTCACCAGCTCATAGTTGAACCAGTACAGAGCTTGGGGGCACGGGGATGCACTCATTAGAGACTGGGAGGGCAGTGGGGTAGGCCCAGACCTCCCATCTCCCACGGACCTACATCACAACTACTCCCTCCCAATTATGAAGCTTGCATGCTATGTGCCAGTGGATTTCACAGGCCCTGGGCAGGAAGTGTCTCATGAAAATGTGGGGCCCACTTCACATGTGAGATGGATACTCACGGCTCAGAGAAGTTACATGACTTATAGATTAGTAGTAGCAAAACTGGGGCTTAGCTGTAGACCTCCTGGGGCCCCTCACCTCAACCCCTGCCCTCCAGATGCCTACCTGAGAAGGGCACATCCCGAAGGGCAGTGGGACCCCAGCCCAGCCAGAGTGAGCGCCAGCCACCCTGAGCCACAGCCGCTCGGACACAGGTGCCCAGCTCCCGGTATGACAGGTGCTGAGCCTGCAGCTTTGTCCGCACCAGCTCCAGGGGGCTGATCACAGTCACGGTGCCCACTGTGGGGAACGGGAGGATGGGTCAGCTCACAGGTCCCAGAGGCAGCCGTCCCAGAGTCCGGGGGCCTTAAACATCCCTCCACCCCAAGGCTGGCAGAGTTTGGGAGTCTGGACTGGGCTCCTGCACTGTGGGGGGTGGTCAAAGGGAGACGGCGGGCCCAGGACTGTGCTCACGGCGGGCCAGTGCGCCAGCCACCATGGGAGCGTAGAGGTCAGAGGTCAGGGCTCGATCACACAGGAAGGCCTTGAGTTGGTCGTAGGCGGTGAAGTAGACGGCAGTGGCTGGCACAGTCATCACCCTGGGGGTGTGTATAGGTTAGCCAAGACTCTCCAAAGCTCCCAAATCTCCCAAGGTTCCCTGGCCCCACTCAGCCAGCCAACACTGGGAATAAGAGGTTGGAATGGGGGGGATCAGGGGGAGGAAAGCCGCAGAACTGGGGTGCTCACAGCGTGGCTGGGAGGCCGCTCCACAGGGTCCTGGTGCCCTCATGTCGCACAATCTTCACAAAAGCATCCTGGTCACGCAGACACCAGCCCAGAAGAAGGAAGGATGAAATGAACAAAGCTTGTGGCAGGGCTGGCCCAGGCTGGGCCCTCACCTGATGCCCTCGCTTCTACCCAAGAGCCCTTCAGGCCTCCACACATGTAACTCCCTATTTGACTCCAAACAGACTCCTATTCAGGCTTCCCAGGTAGCACTAGTGGTAAGAATATGCCTGCCAATGCAGGAGACATGAGACATGGGTTTGAGCCCAGGGTTGGGAAGAGATAACCTGGAACAGGAAACAGCAATCCACTCCAATACTGGTGCCTGGAATATTCCATGGGCAGAGGAGCCTGGTGGGCTACAGTCCATGGGGTCTCAAGGAGTCGGACACGACTGAGCATGGAACAGGAGGAGGGACTCCTAATCACCTTTCAAAACCTTGTGAAGACCATGCCCCCTCGGGGAGCCCTTTCCAAAATGAACTGGCCATCTCTATGTACTTTAGGCTACCCACTGTTTTCTGGATCTACTGCCCTACCAATCTGTATCCCTCCGAATGCCTACAGACCCATCCAGGGCACAGCTGCTCCTCACCATGGTACCAGTGAAGCGAGTGGGGTCCTGAAACCAGGTGGCACAGCAGGCACTGTTTGGGCACAGGTAGAGGGGCTCTAGGACACCACTGCAGTACAGGAGGCACTTCCCTGTGGATCGGAGAGAGGAGGGCACTGGGGAAGGGGTGGGGGCGTCAGAAAGACAGGGCCCTGGGACCTCACAGGGAGGTGGTGAGCTCCCATCCCTGGAGGGCCAGTGGAGCCTGGGGTCCCTGGGTGGACATTCTAGTGTAGGACAGAGAGCTGGCTGATAAGATCTAGAAGTGTGTGCCAGTCCATGGCTGTGGGACTCCCATGTGCCCTGAGAGACCGGGACACCCCCTCCCCTGAACCCTTACAGGCTCCCCGTGGTGCAGGCACTCACATTTGGCATAGGAGAGGCTCCAGAGTCTGGAGGGAGGCATCAGCTCTAAAACACAAGACGGTACCTCAAGTCAGAAGTGGCCCCCACCTGCCCCCAGGCACCCCATCCCTGGGGAACCCTGCACCCCCACAGGCTCCAAGGTCAGGCACTCACCACTGGCCATTGAGGGGCGCTGAGACTGCAAGCGTACCTTCACCACATCCAGGGGGGTCACTAGGGGAGGAGGGCAGGACTGGAGGCTCCTTCAGGACCCCTCCCTGACCCCTCATCCACAGCCAAGTCACTTGTCAACATCTGGTGTGCCCCAGCCCCCAGTTGCTCCCACCCCACCTCCCCAGGTCTTACTGAAGAGGGAGGTGACCACAGCCCCCGCACCAGATGCCACCATTTGTTGGAGGGGGCTAATGCCCCCTGGGTCCTGGTCAGCCATCTTGTAGCTTCAGTTCTGAAAAGCAAGTGTCAACTGGAGCAAAAACCAGAGTCAGGAAGAAGAAAGAAGGCAGGGGTGCCTAGAGACACTACGGGGACTCTCACCCCATTCACTCACTGAGTATGAGTTTATCACAACCACTTTCTAAAGCAGTTATTCTCAGCTTCCCCTTGCTGGGGGCGTGGGGGTGGGGAACATGCTCAGAGAGGTGAGTTGACCGGCTCAGGGTCACACTGGGAGTAGTCAGCAAGGAAACTGGGAGAGTCACCCATCAGTTAATGGACAATAACGGCCCACCGCCATTCCCTCTCCCTCGCCACACTGGCATACTGTGATCCAGTTCAGTGCAGGTGCCCTGGAAGGCCTGGGGACCAACGATCAAAGCGCCTGAGCCGCCCCCCTACGCCCCCCACTCCAGCTCCCAGGCCCGAGATGGGTGCATGCGAGCCTCGAGTCGCACAGAGTGGATAGGTGAGGCCGGGCAGTGAGGGAAAGGGAACAAATCTGAGGGCGGAGAAGGGCCCAGCCCCTTTCCTGGGACTGAAAGTGAGGACTCCCAGACCTCCCCCGCACCCGTCCTCTCGAGGCCAGAAGGGTAAAGACAAATTTATCTAATCTCTCTCGCGAGCGGGGGCGGTAGGCTAGGCCCAAAGTGCTTTAAGTAGGGATAGGACGACAAGATCGCTCTTCACCCCTCAGAGACATTCTGTTCCGACTCCTCGCGCAGGGAGCGCCCTGTGGGGCCGACTATGTCGGCCCGCGACTCCCGGCCTCCAGGCCAGGCCCGCCCGGCTCAGGCTCCCTCGGACCCCTAGAGACCCAACTCCCGCCTCTGCCTCCCTCTTGGCCCTCAGCCTTGGTCCAGTCCCGCCCACCTGGCTCTAGGCCGGTGCTCGAGCGGCGCGGTGCCCGGGGCCGGGCGGGCCCATAGCGGCTCCGCCGCCGGTGCGGGCTCCGCGCGCGCTCACTCAGCACCGAGGCCGACTCGGAAAGCGGCCGAGCTCGCCCCGCCCCCGGTGGGCCCAGTGAGGCCCCGCCCCCGCGGGCCGACCGACCTTTTGCCCGGAGTGACGCCGGCCCGCCCACTCGCGGCCTCCTCCGTGTCCCGCGCTAGCCCGAACCCGCGCGGCCGATGCCCAGTCCCGCCCGCGCGCCAAGGTCGCGTGTCTCCACGCCGCGCTCGACCTGGAGGCAGCGCTGTACTTGAAAACTTGTTCCCAACACCACCCCACCAGTACCCAGGCAGAGCGCTGCTCCCACAAACTATCCAGACAAGCATGGGTAACGCACTCTCCCCGTCTTCTTCATTCGCGGGCCGGAAGAGATTTGAATCCATTCTTCCAGGATCGCGAGGGCGGTCAGACAGTGATGGCAAACATCAACCCACCCGGCTCTTTGTTGAGGTTTTTACAACTTCATGATGACCGTATCAAATAGGGTCGTCCCCGTTTAACAGACAGTCCACCGAGGTTGCAACGCCAAAACCACTTGACAAACTGCGGGGTACCACGCGGGTGTTGGCGATGGAGTTAACGAGTAAGCAACTGAAGGCAGACAAGCTGGCCCGGGAGCCCCCGGGAGATCTGGGTTTAACCTGGGCTTCGTCCCACCTCCTTGTGGGGACCGACATTTCTGTGTTGGTTACTCTCACAAAACCTATTTCTACGTCTCAACAGTTTTAGAAATAGATTATTATTCGCCTTCCCCATTTTACGGAAGACGAAAATGAGGGTCAAAGTTAAGAACCCGGAATTCGAACTGGACAAATACCAAACCCCTCCCCTCAAATTGCCTTCCCAGGGTGACAGGTTGGCGTAAATCCTGTAACGACGTCTCCGATCCCGCTTCTCAGGAGACTCATTTTTCTCCCGGGCCAGCCCCATTAGCCAAGACCCCACCAACTGCCTCGCCTTTAAAACTTCTCGTTCGCTGATTATTTATTCTAACAGAAAAACGAACACGGGCTATGGGCCTGCGCCTTTAAGAAGGGTAGGCCGTGACTCTGACGTCATTTGCTTCCCCGCCCCTCACCCCCAGAACGGTTGCTTCCCGGCAGGGAGTAACCCAGCCAGCCGGTGCACGCCGGATTAGCACGTGGATTCCATGGGGCCAACCATGCGCTTTCCCTGAGAAAAGGCTTTGCGGTTCTCTAAGGCTAGGAAGCCCGAAGTGGGGGGCAGGGAGTGACCGTTGAAGTGCTGCTGGTCTAAAGGGCCCCGAGAGAAGGAGCCATTTATATTCCCTTCTTATATAAGTGAATTTTGAAACGACAAAAAATCATTTTATAAACTGTCAGGGAGAGAGCTCAGCCCCAATTAAGGTCCTTTACCGCCTTAAAGACATGACTTAAAAACAGTTTCACAGCCATCAACCAAGAGATATCTCTTCCCATTTTACAGAGGAGGAAACTCAAGTCCTTGTGTGTAAATGACTTCTGGTGTGGAGTAGAACCCAGACTTCTCCCATGCACTCTTCCCATTTTACGGTGAGAAAATGAGGACCCTAGAGGTCAAGTTGCATCAAAATCAAATGAATGCAAGAGCTAGAGTTCAAACCCCCACCTTCCTCTGTCCAGAGGACCTCCCACCCCAGGCCATTCTCAACCAGGGCTCTCTGCTCCCTGCAAAGGTTTACTCAGGCCTTAGGTCCCAAGAACTCTAAGATAAAGCATGTGCAGGCCCGCACCACTTACCTGCCTCAAGATCAGAGTTCTGGGAGGCCAGGACCAGGTTCCAGTCTGAGCTGCCTCCTGCAGCAGCTGTGGGACATCTAGCAAAAATCTAGGGGTCTTTAAGCCATTTATAAAATTAGCTGAAGGGGATCAAAATACCTGCACCTCCCAGGAATTTTGCATTTAATGAGTTAATAGCTCTAAAGTACAGAGAGCCCTGTCTGGCACGTGGCAAGCAGTCAGTGACTGTTACCTATTACTGCTGTTGTTTAGTTGCTAAGTCCTCTCTGACTCTTTGCAACCCCCTAGACTGCAGCCTGCCAGGCTCCTCTGTCCATGGGATTTCCCCGGCAAGAATACTGGAGCAGGTTGCCATGTCCTTCTCCGGGGGATGTTCCCAACACAGGAATCAAACCTGTGTCTTCTGCATTAGCAAGTGAATTCTTTACCACTGAGCCACCTGGGATAAGCACTATTATTATTCATTGTCCCCTCCCCCGTGGCACAGAAATTTCTGGAAAGTGTCTTTAGAGCAACCAGGATTCTGATCCTACTTCTGCCTCTAAATGCAGGCACAGATAGTGATGACTCCTCACATGCCTTCTTCCCTAGAGCAACGTAGCTCAACCAGGAATCAAACCTGGTGATCTCTGAGCCTCAGTTTCCTTCACAATAGAAGGAGGGGCTTGCACTCCTTGCATTTCTGAGTTTCTTCTTGCAAAAGGATGCCTTTGAGGTTTGTCACTACCCTCAGTTTCCTCAACTGAAAATAAAGATGAGGTCACCTGCCTGCTGATTTACAGACTCTTAGCTAAAGACAGGTCTGTAAAAAGCTAAGTAAAGAGCCGACAAATAGTTCTGTGGCTCCGCCCAGAGCTGAGCAGATCACAGCCACTGCCATACCCTACAAGTAAATGCTTTGAGGCTGGGAAAACCTTGGGCACCGAAGGTCAGCACACTGGCCGCAGTGTGGGTAGCTGGGAGAAGTTATCTACCACTGGAGCTGATGGAGGTGCCATCCAAGGGCAATCAGAGCAACTTCAGGGTGGAGCCACAGCTTGAGATGCTCATAACTGCGGGGCCCTGGCTAGACTGGCCTGCCCTGAGAAGCAAGCCTAGAGTCCTGAGGAGGAGATGGCCACTGTCCTGGCTGATTCAGCCATGGTTCACACTGACCAGGCACCCAAAGGTCCTTCTAGAGGCAGCATGTGGCCCCATGTGGCCATCACTAGCCTCCTCGTCAGATGGAAAAAACAGATACTCCTTTCAACTGTAAAAGGGGAGAAAACAGTACCAGCGCCAAGGTTATCTCAGGGACTGATGGACAAGTCCTTGCCTGGCATTGGGGAAGGGATATAAACAAAAGATAGTTTATTGTGAGGCTCAGTTCTTCCAGGGCAAGCCTCAGCTTGCACCCCTAGGGCCTAGGAAGACATTTAGGGCCCTGAAGTAGGGCTCAGGTCCCTCCCAGGGACTCTACCAGCACGTCTGAGTTTAGAGCCAGAACTGTTCCCACCTAGAAGTGCCTTGCTGGAGGCCAGTCCCCAGGCTGCACGATCACAGAACCAGAGAAGAGAGATCCAAACCCTGGTGGTGGTGGCTTAGCTGCTAAGATGTTCTGACTCTTGCGACTCCATGGACTGTAGCCCACCTGGCTCCTCTGCCGAGTTCTAGGCCCCCAGCTAAATGCCAGGTCAGAGCTTTGATTGAGCCCAGTGGGCAGGGAAGGGTGGGGAAGCTAGTATTGTATTGTGTATTGTTTAGTCAAACTTGACTCTTTTGCAACCCCATGGACTGTAGCCCACTAGGCTCCTCTCTGTCCTTGGGATTTCCCAGGCAAGAATACTGGAGTGTGTTGACATTTCCTTCTCTGGGGAATCTTCCCGACCCAGGGATTGAACCCACGTCTCCTACATTGGCAGGAGGATTCTTTACTACCAAGCCACCAGGGAAGCCCGGGGAAGTATGTATATGTGTACACATATATACATATATAGTGCGAGTGGTTAAGAACCCACCTCCCAGCGCAGGTAAACATAAGAGACCTGGGTTTGATCCTGGGTTGGGAAAATCCCCTGGAGAAGGAAATGGCAGCCAATTCCAGTTTTCTTGCCTGAAGAATCCCACGGACAGAGGAGCCTGGCGGGCTGCAGTCCGTAGGGTCGCAAAGAGTCAGACATGATTGAAGGGACTTAGCACACATGTACACAATCAGAAGGTGACGAAGTTGGGAATCCCCTGGATGGAGGTCCAGAGGTTAGGACTCTGCTTTCACTGTGGAGGGCTTGGGTTCAAGCCCCGTTAGTGGAACTGTGCATAAGAAAAAACAAAAAACAACAAAACTGTCTTTCATTTTTTGAAGGTTAAAAAAATAAGAAATAAATGTAATAGCTAGAATCAGCCCACCTGCGGAAAGTCCTCTATCTGACCCCCCACCCCAGACCTCCCTGGCCTGAGAAGGTGGGCTGGGGAATTTCTGGACACCCAAGGCTTGAATAGGGGGACCTGGATGTGGTCTGAGGCGGTGGCCTCTAGAGGGGAATAGTCCTGGCTAAGACTGTAAAATTTCCTTCCCCCATCCTGCTGGGAACTTGGGACAGGCTCTCTAGACTCTGCTGGAGGAATGTGGATTAATCTACCTCAGAGGAGGTAGTTTTGAGCCATAACTGTCAAAATTCCACATACGCAAGCCTCGCACTAAAGGTCGAGAATCTGCCTGCCAATGCAAATTAGAAGATGGGGAAGATCCTCTGGAGAGGGGAATGGCAATCCACTAAAGTATTCTTGCCTGGAGGATCCCATGGACTCAGCCAGGCCACTTGTGAGCATTCCTCTGCTGATTGGCTTGCTGCTGTGCACGGCAACTCTCCTTGACCGTAGCCCTGTGTGTAACAGCAGAAAGCCGTGGAAAGGGACTGCCTGACAACATTCCCGTATAACAAACACCACCCTGCGAGGGATGCTGATCTCCGAGTGTAAAACCACCTCAAAGGGAAGTGTTACATTGAAAAGCGGGCAGTTGTTCTCGATTGGAGCTCTACCGCCCCCTAGGGGAAGTTTGGGGGATTTAAGGGGCCGGCTATGGTTTTCACAAGTTCCCGAGGCCCTGGCATTTTGACAGAGCGCAGGGCAGGGATGCTCAATGTCCTGTAAAGTATAGGACAGACTGACATAACAAGATTTTATCCCCATACACCTCTCAGCTTTCCTCTGTGTTTCTGGACAACCGCATACATTCTTTTCTGGTGTTCATGGAGGACTGGTCCCAAGAGCCCCTGCAGATACCAAAATCCAGGAATGCTCGAGTTCCTTATATAAAATGGCCTAGGAGAGTGAATACAGCTGGCCCTTTGTATCCGCGGGTTTCACCTCTGTGGATTCAAAAAATCCAGTGGTAATTATCCGACCTGGAAGCCAGCTCTATTTCACCCATGCCATGAAGTGCTAAGCGCTTCAGTCGTGTCCAACTCCATGCGACCCTATGAACTGTAGCCCACCGGGCTCCTCTGTCCATGGGATTCTCCAGGCAAGAATACTGGAGTTGATTGCCATTCTCTTCTCCAGGGGCTCTTCCAGACCCAGGGATCGAACTGGCATGTCTTACATCTAACCTTCATTGGCAGGCAGGTTCTTTACCATCAGCGCCACCTCACCCACATCTTCTTAAATGATTTTATAATATATTGAATTTCCCAGGAATAAAATGATCATGCAGTCTCCAGGAAGACATGTCTTTGTCTCCGTTAGAACTTTACTGAAGATCACTGACCCTTCAGAATGTCTGGTCTGGTTGGCCACCTGGCTGGTGTGAGCTGAGAAGCTGACACAATACTCCAGCCCAGTCTCCATTTCTGGTTCTCCATCACCAGAGATTCACGGGCATCTGAAACTTTCTCTTCTTACATGGAGTCAAGCCTGAGCTTTCACGCACAGAAAATACATATTATTTTATTCTAAATTACTTTCTTTTATTTTTCCTCTCTATTACAGTTTGCATTTCATACAGATTTTTTTTAATGTGTGTAGGAAATTATACTATCTGTACATTTCACTTCTGAAAATGTATTGCAGGAGACTTAAAACTATATTACCA